TTTCCTTTTTCTTTTAAAGTGTTGCAAGTATCCTTTGGACAGCTTCTCCCCCCACAAGGCGACCTCCTCCTGGGAAATCCTCTGCCTTCAGCAGGCCTTGGGGAGCTCCGGAGGCACCTCGCTCGCCGAGATGCGGTACTGCACCTTGGTGTTGGTGATGGCCCCGTGCTTCTGCCGGAGGTGAAGCCGCAGCTGGCTTTTGTGGGCGGACGGAAATGCAGGTTGCACTTCTCACACTGCGGGGCGAGAGGCAAAGGCAGAGGGTGTGAAACGCGATGGTGGGGATGGTAGGGGACACGTCCTTCCCTTCAGGGCAGGGGTCCCGCTGCAAATGCCTGTCCTCTGCCAGCTACCCCAGGATGCTGCGCCCGTTATACCAGTGGTCGAGGGAAAAGTGGGGACATGGTAGGAGAAGCAGCACGCGGGGGCATCCCATGCCAGGCTTTCAGCAGCACATTTTGGTTTATGGGACGGACAAAGGCCGAGGTCCCTTAGAGAGGACCCTGGCTCTGATGGACGTAGCACCAAGCTCCTTATCTAGACGCTCAAACAGGGTCTATTTCGGAAGCTGCTTTTGACCCCTGCCAAGCCGAATGGCTCCAGAGCGATGTCTGGACAGTATCCCTTGCTCCGATTCTCTCTCTAGCGGATGGGGAAAGCTAGGAAATTCTCAGCAAAGAGGTGGGAGCCCCCAGGGCTGCAAGCAAGGCAGGGCAGGCTGCTCGCTCGGCGCGGGTGCCACCTGCACAGGGGACCCCAGGCCAGGCTGTCTGCTCCTTTCCCCCATCCCCGCACACAGTAGGCGGCTGTAATTTAAGCCACAGCTATTTGGAGAAGTGTGACCTTCTTCCAGATGGGTGGAAGAAAAGAAGAGCAGCTAAGATGTACCCAGCCTGGGCTGCACGTCAGTGTTTCCAATGCAGCCGCTCACGACGAAATACCATGTCGGCATCGGCTAATGCACGAGAGGGGGACGGGGCATGAGGAGCAGGGATGTGACCTTGGCGTGGGGCCTCGTGAGGCTGGTGAAGGGCATTGGGGTGTTGCAACCAGGCCTTGTGAATGCCCTGGTGTCTTCCCAAGCCCCCAGGTTTGGCAGCATCCTCCCCTAGCCCTTGCTGAGACACCCCCCCGCAAAAAAAGCAGGGTCACTCACATGATACGGTTTCTCTCCCGTGTGGATTCGAAGGTGACTTTTGAGGGTCTGCAGGTGCCGGAAGCGTGTGCCACAGATCTCACAGGGGTACGGCTTCTCCCCGGTGTGAATGAGCACGTGAGCACGGAGATGGGCCACCTAGAGAGAGCAGCTCTGGGTGAGGACAGCCTCAGGGATGAGGGCATCCCACTGGGTAGCAAGGGCATCCCACTGGGAGTGGGTGTTTTTTTTTTTTTTTCCTTTAAATTTACAGACCTCTAAGATCATCGAGTCCACCCGTCAACCCAAAACCACCATGCCCACTAAACCATGTCCCTAAGCACCTCATCTACATGACTGGTTCTGCCCAGTCATCTTTTTTTGGCCTATTGGGTTCTAGCTGGGAGTCAGGGCCACATGTGTCTGAGGTCTGGTATCTCCAATCCTTAACAGCAAGTGGAGGAGAGGAGCGAAAAGCAGCAATCAGGCTTCCTGATAAGCCAAACTGGCCCACACAGACCTTAAGGCCCCTATTTATCCCGCAACACCACGGGAAGAGCTGCCCAAGGCAGTGAGCATGGCCCACCAGCCTCCTCTCTGCCATGAGGTGTCACTGGTCTTGGGCAGGTCCAGCCATGTCCCACCTCCCCAGACACTGCAGGCCCCAGAGGCCACATGCACCTGGACAAATCTGGCCCCGCAAGTCTCGCACTTGTAGGGTTTCTCTCCGGAGTGGATACGCGTGTGGGTTTTCAGGTTGGCCGGCCGGTTGAACTGTGCCCCGCAGATGTTGCAGCGGTACGGCTTTTCTCCTGCAGAGCCCAAAAGAAAGGGTGAAGGATTAAGCACAGGCATGCTCAGCCCCCATGATCCATGGCACTCCCCAAAGCCAAGTCCCTTCAGGTGCCAGACCCCACGGCATGAAGCACTAGCCCTGACTCCTGTCCCTTTTGGAGATGGCTGTGGACAAGCAGCATTGGTCAGGACAGCTCGCGGTGTCCCCGGAGCAGGGTGAGCTCAGGAAGTACCCGGGCACTGTGGGTACCTTTTCTTTTTCTGGCTGGGAGCTGCAGCCTTCAGGGCAAGAGAGAAAGCCGGGCAGCTCTGCCAGCGAGGATTAACAGCATCGCTCCTCCTGGCCCTGTGACAGCAGCTGGTTGCCTGCGTCTCCCTACAGCCGTCAGTAAGCCACGCAGGGCCACCTGGCTCCCTTCGGGCTCCTCGTGGTTCCCAGCACATCCTGCCTTGGCCGTTCGTCACCTCTTTACAGGAGCGAAAAGAGCTGATAGAGTGGAAAGCCAAGGCAGATCCGGCTCCCAAGTCATTATTCGGTTACAATCACTGCTGCTGGCTCCCGGTGATGGGGGGAGCTGCAAAAAGGTTTTAACTAGTTTCTTTAGGATGGTTGAAGATGGGCTCAACAGGCAGTGGGACACAGCCATCATCTATCCCTTCCTGCCTTTTTCTTTTGTTTCCAGGCTTTGACCCCACGCACCCTCCGAGCCTGCCCTGGCACTTGTGTCTTCTCATTCACCTGGAGCTCAGCTGAGACTGTGGGAATTTATGGCTAACTCAGTGCAGCAGCACTGAGTTGTCAGCACAGACTTCCATTCCCCAGCTAGTGAACTGGCTTTTGACATGTTAAACATTAATAAAAGCATGAAAAAAAAAAATTCCCTAGGTTTGTCAGCAAATGACTAAACCCTTAATATCCCCTTCCTTTCTCAGCTTTCATTGTGCTGATTCAGAGTCCATCCATTCACAGATTTTCCCATCAGCAGAGTTTCTGCCAGGCTAGATATGATCTGGATTTCTAGGATGTAGGGGGAAAAAAATCCCAGACTTCTCCCTAAGTGTTCTTTTGTTCTTTTGATTTTTTTTTTTTTTAATTTTAAGTCTACCACAAAGTAACCTGGAGCCACACATCTGCTCCCAGCCATGCCTTTAGAAACAGCGGTGCTCAGTGCTTTACAGCAAAGGAGCTTGAGCTCCATCCCTGCCGTGAGGCCAGGCAGCATCTCCCCTGTTCCCAGGTTTGCTGCTCTGCCCAAGGGCTCCCTGGCAGTGCCAAGAAAAGTGCCTTGCTCTTCCCATCAGGGACAGCTTGTGACACAGAGCAGGGGGTGCTGCACCTGGGACAAACCCAGCAACCCACAGCCTCCTCAGAAAGTTGTCCCCTTGGCCAGCACTGTACCTGTGTGGACGGTTTTGTGGCTGGCAAGGTTCCCCTTGTAGCGGAAGGAGGCCTGGCAGCGGTCACACTTGTAGGGCTTGTCACTGTGGACTTGCAGAGAGTGTCTCTTGAGAGAGGCCTCCTCGGAGAACCGGCAGTCGCACTCGTTGCAGAAGAAGGCTCCGTTCTCTGGGAGGGCACAGAGGAGAGCAATGAGATGGGCAATGCGTGGGCCAGCTCCTCGATGGGCCACAGGGTGGGCTTGGGGTGGTGGAGAGGGGCAGCCAGAACAAGCGTTGGAATAAGAAGCCAAGTGCAGACATTTGTGGTCAGCGGTGCTTGCACCATGCCATTACCTCCTGACCTCCTTGTCACACAGCAACAACATGCATGGTTTGAGAGAGCAAAGTCATCACGAGCCATCTCTCCTTCAGTGTGACACAAGCTGCTTCCAAGAAGCCAGCATCTCACCTGGACATCTTTCAGAGTGGTCCACAAAGGCACCCAAGTTATTAGGCATCCTCCAAAGGATGGATGTTCAGCTCTGGAGCAACTCCAGCACCTTTAGAGGTCTTAAACCTTTAGATGTACAGGTGTCTTCCTTGAACATGGGAAGACCATCATCATCTGAAGCACAAGGCAGGTCCCCCCAGTAGGAGGGTGCCTAACTCTTAAATGCTGTATGTAGCTTTGAGCATCACCACAGTGGGGTTCCCTCCGTGGATCTCTGCCCACACCACAGGTGACAATTCTGCATTCCCCCTCCCTGAGCTACAGGCAGATGGGTGCAAAGATTCTTGTCTCTGGGCTTGTGGAGTTTTGCAACAAGATTGCAAGCCTCATTATCTGCATTTCTCCAGATGTGCGCATTGGGCTCCCTGTTAATGAAGATATCATGACGGATGCATGAGACACACCATCTTGCCCAATCCCCATTAGGGTCATTACATCTGCCAAGCTTGTTCTCCTGTGGTTCTGGTGGGGTGGGGTACACTTTGTTTCCTGTCCTTAGCTGCCAAGTTTGCAGCAGGTGACTAACTCCCTGCACAAGGTATCTGGACGGTGCTGGGGAAGGAGAGGAAGGAAGCAATTCCCACGTGCTTGTGTCCCTCACATGCACACAGCTGGTCAGCCAGTTAAGAGGGGACTGTAAAGCACCTTGGGATCCACCAGCATCATGGACAGGTCTGACTACCTGTTTGGACACAGGACACCGGTTGGATGGATCCCCAGACTGCACAGCCCCCTTGCCTGCTGGTTGAAAAAGGCGACTATGGATGCAAGACTCACCGCAGCTGGAGTCAGAGTATTCAGACTGAGTTTCCCCCATCTCCTCTCCAAAGTTTGAGCCAGGGGTATGAAGGCACATCTCAGCATGTTGTGGGGACTGGCAGCCACAGGAGCTGCACTTTGACGAATGCATGTACAGCGGGGACTGCCCTTCGCTGCTCCGAGGGGACCCATCCCGGGACCTGTGGAAGGACAGCAACGCACACAACCGTGAGAAGGCTCTTGCTGTGCTTGAGCTACTGGGCCCTTGTTTGCACCCTTCCAGACACAAGGGACAGCCATGTTTTATGGGGACACTTTTGTGGTGAGATGCACAGCATAGCCCTGATCAACAACAGGTCCCTGAGCCTCAATCCTTCAGATGCCCATCACCAAATGACCTCAAAGCTCTCTAGGAACATCCAGGTCAGAGGATAGCATACTGTTCCCTGGTAGTTTGGCCTTTCCAATGCTTACAGCCAACCAAAAGCTCGAGGCACAGGGAGTCTGGTGAAAACCAGGTTAGGCAAATCCAGGCTCCAGAAACCATCCAGAGCTGCCAAAGTGAGCCAGGGATTCCTGACCCAATGTTCCCAATTCCATCGCCAGGCCAGGCTAGCACCACTAAGGTGGCGATGGCTGGCACCCAGCCGATGTCACTGGCAGTGCTCTACCAAATGCAGAGGCTTCCACCTGCTCATGGCTGGACTCCCCAGCCCAATGCTACAGCTATTTCACACACTTCCAAACCCTCATCAACAATGCGGGAAGTCCTGCCTCTCGCGGCCGGGGGGAAATCTGCTCACCTGTTAACGATATTGTTGAGTCTGCTCGCTTGTGGGATAGTAGAGTCTTCTCCATTCACGCTCATCTTGGTGGGGGATTGCACGTTAAGATGCTCCGGCTCCATGGACTGCTGGCAAGTGGACATGGGCATGTAGGTGCGAGGTGAGAGGGTTCCCATCTCGTTCTGGTCAGCACTGTCTTGCTTGGTGCTCTGATTGAGAGAGTTGAGGACAATGAACTTGTACTTCTTCCAGTTGCAGGCTTTGGGGTCTGTGGGGCTCTTGGTGAAGAGGGAGCTGGAGCTCTGACTGATACGGGCGTTCTTGCTGCTGCTGGACTCGGTCGGTGAGTTGGGCTGACAGTCCGATTTCTGGGGGCTCTGGGGGCTGATGAGTCCCTTGCGGTCCAGGGGGGTGTTGGTGGGCTCAAAGTGCTGGCTGATTTCATCCTCGGAAGAGGTCCGCTCCTCCTCTTTGGCCACTTTGTCGCAAGAGAAATAGGGATTGTTCCGGATCGAAGGGACGACCGGTTTGGGGCCAGAGGCTACGCTGTAGTGCATGTCGCTCCTGGCTTCTTCAGCAGCACCTTCTTTCGGAGCGTAGATGGTAGCGTGGCACATGTTGGCCGAGATGTCGGTAATGGTTCTCATGTACTCAGTGGGGATTGTCCTGGAGCTGTCGCATGGCAGGATCCTCTCCTTGGGGAAGGCACCTGCCCTCGAGAGTTCGGAGAGAGGCATCCTCATCTCTCGCAACTCGTCATCCACTAGGAAGCTATTTAGAGGGAGAGGGCTGTATCCATGGTAGGAAATGGGGGATCCAGACAAACTGTTGATCAAGCCAGGTGCAAAGGCCCTCCCATTGCAGAAGGACCCATTTTGGAGAGGCATGCCGTTCTCCGAGACATCTCTGCTCCGATAAGCCATCACCTCTGGGTGGCTCAGCATCCGTCCAGCCAAAAACTCTTCCCTTGGGGTCTTCACAGCAGACACCATCTCCGCTTCACTGGAACCAGGCAAAAAGGAGGGAGACGCAGTCATTTTCAGCCCGTAAGGATAACTTTGCAGATATTTTGTCAGTTCTCCCCCCTCCCACCCAAACACACTGTCCCAGGCACTCCAAAGTTCATTCACGGCGCTCACCTAGATTTGACAAACCTTCGGCAGGTATCAACCACATGCTCCATCTGCAGGTACAGCGCTGTGGCCATCACGGCCATGATATTGTTCTCCCTCAAGTTCAGGCGGGATGTATACATGAAGTCCAAGAGGATGCAAAACCCCTCAGGATTAATTTCAGGGTCCAGGTTGATGACATTCAAGTTGCACTTGAGCTGGTCAGTGAAGATGCTGTAGAAGAGGCCACTGCAGGGAGGAGACAGGAGAGAAGACGAGTGTTATGACAATTCAGAGGAAGAAAGGAGAATTTGTCTGAAATACCTTAGCACAGAGGGGTTCGTGAATGGGAAGGGAGGAGGAGGCAATTACAGAATTCCCTGAGCTTCCCCCTTATTATCAAGCTTGGTTTCTCAGCTTAGTAAGCACCTTCTGCATGGCACTTTTCCCAACTGGAACAGCCTGCTTTTAGATCTCACCTGCTCAACAACTCCCCACTGCCTCCATTTAGAAATTCCCCTTTTTTTTTTTTCTGTTGTTGTTCTTACCACCCCCTCCTTCCCACTGTGACTCGTTTCTTTCAGAAGCCTTTTGGGGCATCCACGCTCATTCTTTAACCAGGAAAAAAAAAAACCAAAACAAACCAGGAAATGTTGGCAAAACATTTTTCAGATGTCTTAATAGTCAAACCTTGGCTTTTTCAAATCTTTATACCTTGCCAGCAGGAGAACCTGGAAGGCATCTGCCATAATTCAACTGGGCAATGGTGGGATGTTAATTAGCACTCACTAGGAAGCAATTCCAGCAATCCTAGGACCTGGAAAGGGATGTCAGACCCCACCAGGCTTGGAAAAAAAATCAACAAAGGTGGGTGCAGCCAGCAGCCTGGGAGTCAGGGAGGAATAGCTCTAAAAATAGCAGTGGCAGGGGACACTGCGGTCACAGAGGACTTGCTCACCCCAGTGAGCATCCAGCCCTCCCTCCTCTCTCTTCCCCTCCCTTGTCCCTGCAAAGCGTTTGTGCTTTGCCTTCAGGGACGTGCCTCACATCTACTGTGCTCCTGTTTGTCTCCATGAGCTACGTGTGGGCAGATGTGGACACGCGAGGAGGAGAGAGGTGTGGGCACCACGCTAGAGGCAAAAGGTCTCAGCTCTAATCCCATTGCAGGTACAATTCTCTTGGCAGTGCCTTTCAATTCTGCTTCTCTGCCTCTGTTTCCCTGTCCGTAAACCCCACGAGCCCCCCCAGGGCTGCAGCAGTGTTGCTGGTGGCCAAAGGCGGAGGGAGCAGGGAAGGGAGGCAGGGGGGTACCCTGCTCTCACCTGCAGGCCATCAGGACTGTTTTGTGGGCTCTGAACTGCTCCCGGTTCACGATGATGACAACGTCGGTCAGGATATCCCGGCTTCTAAGGCGGTTGAGATTGAGGAGGACATCGCTCGCATGGCGGGTGAACTGGATGCAGCTGTCTGCCGGCGAGGCCATCTCGAGTCTGCCCGAAACAGAAGTGGGAGGAAGATGGGAATGGAGAAGCAGCCAGGCAAGTATCCTAAACTCAGTGAAGAGACAGCTGCTGCTCTGGGATGTGCTCAGATGGCCAACTGCCGCTGGTAGGGACAGCACCAGCTCCTCGGTCCCAAGACAACCAGCCCTACACCACACCAAGTGCCTGCCAGGCTGCCCCGTGAAGTCTCTTGGCCAGCAGCGAGACCTGGCATGTCTCAGTCCCACCCAGCAAGCTGGCGGGCGAAGGCAACCAGACCCTCCTGAGGATTAGCTAACCGGCTCCTCTTTCTCCCTGCCTCACCCATGACGGCTCCACCCCAGCCCACTCCTCCCACCACCACTCAGGTTCATCTCCATGAAGCTCCCAACACAGCTTCCCAGCCTTCAGATCTTCCTCAGGAGCCATCCCCCTCATCCATCTACTGGCTGGCTGCAAATCCTGCCATGGGAATCAAAACAAGCCTTGAAGGTCCCAACTGAAGCTGAAGGATTTCAACATCTGGAAAATCCAGCCCACAGTGGAACACCAACCCTCACCCACCAGCAAACTACTTTCCTGATCCTGAGTGGTGGCCACTCTGGAGAAGACCTGTCCACAGTTTCCCAATGAACTGGTGGTGGCAGTGAGGAGCAGAACTCATCTAACCTGCTGGGCTGCTACCCACACCGCAGCCCCGTCTCTCCCAGTGAGCAAGGCTTGGGTTAGTCGAGGAACATGAAGCCCTCCCCCAACACAACACCCATTGACCCATCTCAGAGGTGTCCTCCCAGCCAGCACCCAGGAAAGCCCACATCTCCCTGTGCCTGAAGTTTGGGCTGGAATGTGCATCTTCAGCGTCAAATTCCTCCATGATCAACCCCCTCCCACAACCCCAACTCCTCCTCCTTCCCCAGCGGCATATGAACGTACAGTATTTTCTACAGAGCAGCTGCTCTCCTGAAAACAAATTCCAGCTGGGTCTAATGAAACATTTCATTCAACATGGTAAAAGGAAGGGGGGGAGGTTAGGAGGGGAAGCACAAAATTTAAATTTACATACCCAATGCCTCAATTCACAGTCCAAAAGTTTCTTTCAAACCTACAAATAAAGCACAAGAAAACAAACGTCACATTAGCTGGTAATTATGAATTGGCCACGGCAGGACACAAGCCTGCTGTTTCGCTCAAGTATCAGTTGGATAAAAGCTAGAGATAACAAACCTTCTACTCTCCAGTAAGGTTAACATTTGTTTCTTCCGGTACAGTACGTTCTTATCACAACCACAGGCTTTGAGAATCCAATCATAGCTTCTTCCACACCCTCTAGCCCAAACCATGGGCGTATGCCAAGGAGATTTTCATTTCCATGACTCAGGAACTTACAGGCAGGTGGGGAAGGGAAGTCAAGCGAGAATTTTCTCACCACTTCTTTCAGAGATAACTCTTCCCCTGCCAAGATCGAATTCCCAGCCGGTGCCACATCCAAGACCAATGCCATATTCCCAGCACCTTGTTAACTTACACACAAACATCTGCTGCCACTCTGCTCAGAAACCTGGAAAGGGCCTGAATCCAGTCCTCCAAAACAGCTACTGCCCTTCTCAGAATACCCACACGCTCCAGCTACTGGTGAAAACGCCCTGGGACGGGACTGCCGAACAGACTTGGGAGGATATGGGCGTCAAGTACCGAAGTGATTTGGCCAGGATCACAGAGGAAGCCGGTGGCAGAGACGGATGAGGACCCAGCACAAATGCCTTTCTCTGGCTGCTGGAAAGGCCTTCCCCCAAACCGCAAGCTTTGCCTCCAACCGCTGGCTTCACAGGCAACGCGGCTGGGGCAGCGTGGCAAGGAAACCCAGGAGTTAACTGCCTTCCAGAACTCACATTATTACATCCAAATTTACTTAAAATCAACAAAGACAATTGACCTGGCACTAACGCAGGAAGAAGGTCCTCAGGCAGCCACCCCAGCAGGAGAAGCGCAATAAATAAGCGAACCAACAAACCCCAAGGCCTTCATCACGCTATTTTGAGGACCGACCCCCAAAAACCGGACAGAGACAGTAAGACTGCCAGAACTTGCAGAGAGCCCATCCAGCCCTGTGAGGACAAGCGTCCCCTTCCCTCTCCCTTGCGGGAGATGCACAGATCTGGAGCCCAAGCTCCCCTCACGTCCCCGGAGACACCGGAGTGGGATGAAGAGGTGAGATTTAAGGCAAGGTATCACACGCAAAACCCAGAGGGGTGTCTTACAGCCCCGTTCCAGCCGTCAAATGCAAAATCTTCAGAGCCGCTCTGAGCCTGGCTAGCTTAAAACTTTACGCACACACAGAAAGTGACTCATTTCCCAAACACTGCAGACTCTGACCTTTCTGTACACGCTCGCTGCCAGCCGCTCGCT